TTTCTTTCTTTCTTTCTTTCTTTCTTTCTTTCTTTCTTTCTTTCTTTTTCTCTCTTTCTCTCTCTTTCTTTCTTTCTTTCTTTCTTTCTTTCTTTCTTTCTTTCTTTCTTTCTTTTTCTTGATTTTATTTACTTATTTAGAGAGAGAACTTGAGCAGGGGGAGGGGCAGAGAGAGAGAGGATCCCCGGCAGACTCTGTGCTGTGTGTGGAACCCACACAGGGCTCAATCTCAGGAACCTGAGACCATGACCTGAGCCAAAATCAAGAGTAAGAGGCTTTAACTGACTGAGCCACCCAGATGCCCCTTCACTGCATTTCCTGATTATGCTTTATATAAGTCATTCTTGTTCCTTTATTTTTGCTTTTTTTTCTTTCTAAACTGTGATACCTCTTTCTCTCTCTTAAAGCCTAACTTGTCCCATCCTTTACAGCCTAACTTTATGCCAGTTATTTTTTTATCTTACCCTTTCCTCTCCCTCTAAACCTTGAATGCTAAATAATTTTTCTTCTAATGGCATTTTTTTTGGTGTGTGACCAGTTAAGTTTTAGCTGTTGAGTCTCACAGGATTCATTTTATTAAAGTCTAATTTCTGTGGATACATGTGAAATGAGTTTTGTTTACTCTAACAAGTCTCTTAATGTTTCCTCTAACAGAAGTGTATAGAGTCCATGATAAAAATATACTCTGCCTTTTAAAGTTAGGCACTGTTGTTTTTCATCTTTTATCCTAAGTACTAATCCATACAAATTATTGCCCTCGTAATTTGCTCAATTATATTCAGAACTTTTATCTTATTAATTTATATTCAAACTAAAATGACTTCTATTCTCTATTTGCTATAAACTTAGGAAAGTAAAATCATTGAGTTATTGTTGCTAATTTGAAGAATGAAAAGATTGTTTTCGAAATTAATTTCCCATGATTAACATATATTTTATTGCACTTAAATACGTCTCCATAAATCATATTTACAAAATACATGGAACTTCCTTTTTCCAAGGTGTTCATAATACTTAGTATTTTGGGAATTTATATTAGCTTACTTATGAGGAATGTGGATGACATACTCTTTACCTGGCAGGTAAAGGAAATGGAGGGCATTTAAATTAATCTATAGACTTTGCAAGTTTGCACAGAGCTGGAGGTCAACGAATATTATTTAGCATTATACTATTATGGTGACTTAATTTTACAGCACACACACATACATGCTACAAAACACACATGCATACATGTATTTACAATGGTTCTTGTCCTTGTCAAAAGACATCAGATAGAGATTGTCTTATTACCCACCGAAACTAAACACAGATAAAGGTGTTTTTTATCATTTTGCCAAATACCTTGATGCCACAGCTCCATATTTCTAAATATGTAGCTTTCAAATTGTTAAGGTCTTTTAATTTAAACATTTGATTTCCTCCATTTTTTCTTAATACAATAAGAACTGTTTCTTTATCCAGCCTCCAAACTAGGCTCTTTATAATCTTAATTATTACAGTTTCTTTTGAAAACACCAAAGTTTCCTTTCTCTCTCATTCTTTTCCCCAGGTCACTGCCTTAAGATCACATTTTGTACTTCCCTTGTAACTACTTAGTAGTGTAAGAAAGAGAAACAAAAGATGTTGATTTGCTTGGGATTCCCGTGGAGTTTACTACTTTTTCCTTCTTCCACTGATGGAGCCTCCTGTGTTTTAGAGTTGAAAAGTTATCCTTGATTTCCTGTAATCTGGACACTTGTAGGCATTTCCTAATACTTTTATCTCCTGTCCTCCCAAAGCTGTATCAGCAATGAAGTTCTGTTGGTAGCAATTTGTAGCTACTATATATATATACACACACACACACACACACACACACGTATATATATATATACATATATATATACACATACATACATATATGGATATATATAGTAATAAATGAATTAGTTGCATTTATGTGTGTATGTTTTTACATGCGACTGTTTTTCTTTATCTCTGCTCTTTGCCAGACAGGCATGGTGCACTGTGATACAGCAGTTGGAACACCTGATTATATTTCACCTGAGGTTCTCAAATCACAAGGGGGTGATGGTTACTATGGGCGAGAATGTGATTGGTGGTCTGTGGGTGTTTTCCTTTTTGAGATGCTGGTGGGTAAGTAAATATTTTAACTTGTCTTTTTTTTAAAAACCAATCTCATAACACTAGTTTTAAGTCAAGAATTTGAGAATCTAAGGAAATTAATTATGTCCTATGGAAGAAGTGGGATTTTTAAAAACTTTGAATTAGTTGTATCAGATAATGACAGATTATTAATTGGAAAATTAAAACCGAATTGTACAGGCACAGTGATTTAGTGGAATGTAAAAGGAATCGAAAGTATATTGCGGGGAAATAATCCTTCAGTGGACCTTTTTGTGTGAAGAAAATGTTAGAACAAGAAACAAGTTTACAGCTGCCGTGGTCTTCTCATCTTAAGATTTTCTTGATCAGTAGTATTTGTTGTGAATATTTTAAGTATAAGTCTGTTAATATTTGTTCCAATAATAGAGAACTAAAAGTATTCTTTAGTTTGTTTACATAATTATGTAATTATTTTTGTTAACTATGTTTCTTCTGTTTATTACTTGTATTTACATATGGTTTTAATTCTAGTAAAATAAATCATAAATAGTTATTGACCATTTGATTATTGATAAAAATATTTTATAATATTTCATTCTCAGAAAACTCAGAGGCAAATCTAATAATTTCTTTCACTTTGACCAAGTCAAAATTTGAAAGGCTCAGGTGTTTCAAAACTTTTCTTTACGTCATAGATTTCATTCTTAAGATTTCCCATTCCTAAGTACTGGGGTCACAAAAATATCTTCTGGCTATGGAAGCCAATGACTAAATCATCTGGCTTGGGGATAAGGGCAGATACAGCTAAATCTATTTTCTGAGGCAAGTGGGATAAGGCTAATAACATTATATGAAACAACTTTAAAGTTGAAAATATATTTTTAGAAATTGGAGAATTTATTTTCTAGAGGATGACCCTAAAAAAATTAGTGGAAAATCTGTAAAATCTGTATAATTATTATGATTATTGCTTAAAAAAATCAGAACATTTTGGCAAATCTCAAATTTAAATAATAGTCATGGAATGTTTTTGTGGCATAAATTGTCTTCTCTTGATGACCATTTTGTGTATGTAGTATTGATCTTGCCATGCTTTAAACTCATGTCATAGTATGACCTAAGTTGTTTAGGGCCTTTGTTTTTGTAATGCATCTCTTTACATGCAGGGTATGTTCCCAGGTAGCTGTCCATTCTCCCCACCTCTGGCCCAATCTGATGATACATTAGGTGCATCTCGTAATCTTTTTAAAGTGGAATTATTCTATCATTTGCCTAGACTCTCCTAGGGATTTGGAAAATAACAATTTGGAGAAAGTCATATAGCTCCTTTGAAGGGACCATTTAAATACCTGCTACTGTTTTCAACCCATGAGTTGAATTTAATGACTTTGAATGACATTGATTTACAGTATTCTGAGCTTACTCTGGTGCTTGCCTAGGTTGGTTAGCTCTGGACTTCATTTAAAGGACTCTACTGTCATTAAAAATGGCACTAGAAAAATCTCGAGTTCAAAGCACCCCTTTGCCCTCTTTGAAAACAAACAAAAACTACCTGAATACCCCCTTTTGAAATTTTGGATTGTCTGATTTGGGAAAGTCTGGTTTGTACTAAGGTGACTTATAGTTGAGTCATAGTGGCAGGGCCTTTAATTCTTGTGGCTTTAGATGAGTACTGGCCAAAATGGTGCCTTCAACTTTTTCTGTCTTTACACTCCATTGCCTCTTTAGCATAGCCACTAGTCTGCAAGAACACTGCATTGGGAGACCATTTCTGCCATTTTCAATTCTAGCTATGTGTCATCTTAAGCAAATTGCATGTGAAATAATAGGGCTGGTCTAACTCTTAGAGCTGCACTGTCCAGTTTATCATGATGAAAATGGTTTATGTCTGCACAATCCAGTATGGTGAGCACTGGCCACATTGAGCTCTTGAAATGTGGGTAGTGTGACTAGGGAACTGAAATTTTTATTTTATTTAATTTTAATTAGTTTAGCTTTAAGTTTAATTAAACTTTAAATTTTAATTGAACTTAAATGTGGCTAGTGGCTACGGTATTGCATAACACAGCTCTAGAGAGTAATCTCAAAAAAGACTGATCCAGCTCAAGCATTAGAGGACTCTGATCGATCTGACCCTACTTAGTAATCTTCCCCATTGTAAAAACAATAACAAATTCTAGAGTCAGCATTGATTTTATTTTGCTTTTAAGAGCTGATGGTACATTGGTGTGGTTAAAATTTAAATACGTCCTTGGTATGTGCTGGTGTGTTTCGACTGAGACACATAGATCACTTGTTCTTCCATGCATGTGACTCATTTAAACTTAACATATTTAAATAATAGATGAAAAGTGTTTAATTTGTATTCTCTGTTACACTCAGTGTCTTCTTTCTTGGAATTTTAGGGGATACTCCATTTTATGCAGATTCACTTGTAGGAACGTATAGCAAAATTATGGATCATAAAAACTCACTATGTTTCCCTGAAGATGCAGAAATTTCTAAACATGCGAAGAATCTCATTTGTGCCTTCTTAACAGATAGGTAATATACATTGAATTTCTTTGTAGAGAGCCCTTAACTTTTAAATTTGTAGAAATGAAAGCATAGCTTTTATTTACATATGAAATCGCTCATTCTCTTTGTTCAAATTGCTTTTAATTCTAGGTTAGCCTTTTCCTACTGCTAGGCCTGGTATTGGGTTACTCTCGTCATTATGTGTGTGCAACCCCATTGTAATCTAACTCTAACCTTACCTTCATGTCTAAAAAGAAAAAATAGAACTTGGTAAGATAATGCATTTGAGAGAAATAAGACTTGTATTATTCACATTTTATCCTTTGAAGTGATTAAGCCATCTGACTCTTACTGTACAACTTTTGAGAGAAGAGTGTTTTGTGCAGATACTTGACAGGTTATAATCTCAAAAACTATTTGTATTTGACTTGGGAGCACCTCCTTCCCAGCCCTTTTTTATTTGCATTTGAAAAGAGTAAGTATGCCCTGGAAATTCTATGTTTCTTAAAACAAAGTAGGTGAACAACGCTGTGAAACCTGTCTCAAAAAGGGAAGATAGAATACTCTTTGGAGTTTCTTCCTTGGCCTTTCTATGCAGTTCTTTTAGATTTGTGGTAAGAGTCAGCCTGTCAAAGGACCAACCTTTATAGAGGAGTGCATGCACCATAGTCCAAACTTTACTCACCAGCATTATGATCTTAGGGAAATAACTTTACTTTTTGGGGAAATTTTACTTATGCATAAACAGTGGGATCAGATCAGATTGATAACTGAGGGCATTTCTAGCTCAAAAGTGCTATGATTCCTCAGCAAACCATATTGTTTGTTAGCCAGTTGCTGTTACGAACAGTACTACAGTGACTGTCCTCATACATTTTTATCTTGCATACATTCTGTAGGATAAAGTTTCAAAGGTGGAATTCTAGGATACACACTTTAAAATTGATTTGGTGTTACAAAATTGACCCCCAGAATAGTCACAGCAGTGTATATTTCCATTGATGATAGTTACTTTCCTCATTCTCATCAAACTGAATATCATGAATTTTTTTTCCATCTGAAGCAAGAAAAGTTGCTGCTATTTTTTCTCATTAGAGAGCTTAATCATTTTATTATGTTTATCAATTATAAGATTTATTAATTATCAGATTAACAGACAATCCATGCTGATAAACTTAGAATAAATCCTGTATGCTTGATTTGGGACTAGATGGGTTGATGAGGATGACCATAATTTGTGCTGAAAGATAAAATATAAAACAGGACATAGCACAAGTTAATGAAAGATTTGCCTTAGCAATTTATTGGGGGGGGGTGTGGTCTAAGGAATGATTGCAGGTAGAGAAAAGAGATTTGGAGAAGAATTTAATGCCATCATTGTGGCTAGCAGTACTTCCCTCTAAAGTTTACAGGGTTTTCTGTTTATATTAAACATGGCTCCAGGGACATATAAAAAAACAGATGTTTTTTATTTCCATAAAATCTTCATTGAAAACTCAAAGGGTCAGAGAATGGAATTGTTAATATTGTTTTTCTTGTATTCAGAATGATTATTTTAATATAAATGTAGAGATATAATTTATCAGACTAAAGAGTGATAGTTTCTAACAATATGTGAGTTCTTTTTAAGAAGAGGTTTTTTTTTTTTAATTTTGATTAAATTTTTATTTTTTTAAAGATTTTTAAAAATTTATTTATTAGAGAGCTAGAACACATGAGCGGGAAGGGGGAAGGACTGAGGCAGAAGGAGAGGGAGATAATCTCAAGCAGACTCTGTGCTACATTTTTATTAGAGAGACTTCGAATAACTCTTCTGTGTCTGAAGTTAAACCTGTCCATTTTACATCCTGGAGTTGGTCATGCAGTTTTGGCACACACAGATGAATGTTTTTATTTGAAAGTCTCATGTGTACTTTTGTTTGATACAAGCTACAGATGGAAATACATTTCCCTTTCCATGGCATTTACTATACTTTACAGTCCTTTTAATCTAGAGAGATCATATATTGTAAAATTGGCATTGCCTGTTTTTGAAAAACATTTAAGGCAAAACTTCTAATAAAGATATCTCAGAGTCATTTGTGATCCTTATTTTGATCCTAGGCAAGATAAGAATTAATTAATTTTTTTGTAATCTTTTTATAATACAATCTTTAACTGCATTGTTTAGGGAGGTACGACTTGGGAGAAATGGGGTAGAAGAAATCAAACAGCATCCTTTCTTTAAGAATGATCAATGGAATTGGGATAACATAAGAGAGAGTAAGTCAGTAAATTTAAATATTTCCATTCCATCACATTTTAAATCTCAGAAATCGATTCCTCTTTTGAATTAGTACATGTTTGATACACTTAATGCTAACTAATTTTAAATTGAGAGGTTTCATTTCAAATTTGTTCTGTGGCAATATCTATAACTAAATGTTCCTCAACACCTTAAACTAATTTGTATTCATTAACAATATTTCTTAATACTTTTATAATAAACAGATTTCTTATTTTGTCAAGTTTTTTTATGGATCTGAAAAATTTTCAGAATGGGGGAAATAGCCCTTAATTTGAATGTGTTTGAATTAATAAATCAGTAATTAATTATGTAGACTGTACTTTGGTGAATACTAGAATAAGCCTAGTAATTCATTTTAACTTTATGTGTATTTGACAATTAATCCATTTTAAGAGTAAGAAATGTTTTACTTAAAGAATGTAAAAAGCCACAGACTAAAGAATGTGTGTGCAAGTTACTGCTGCTTGCAGTTTTAATACCTAGAATAATATCATATTGTTTTCCTTGTTTAATTGATTTGTCTGTACTTAAACCTGCTCTAATGTAGTAATAAAATACTTAGTAAAATTTTAATTTTTTGAAATGATAGAATGTAAAACATGTTACCAAAATTTTCTATAGTAAATCATGTTACTGAATATATATTATTAATGTATAATGTATTGGTATTAATATATATTACTAATATGTAATTGATATAAAACAAAATCTGGGTGGTTAATGTATATTTTGATTATGAAGAAAATAATCCATTTCTTTTCTTTTAACAGCGGCAGCTCCTGTAGTACCTGAGCTCAGCAGTGACATAGACAGCAGCAATTTTGATGACATCGAAGATGATAAAGGAGATGTAGAAACCTTCCCGATTCCTAAAGCTTTTGTGGGAAATCAGCTACCTTTTATAGGATTTACCTACTATAGAGAAAATTTGTATGTGATTTGTTTGTTAGATTTTTATTGCTTTCAGGATTTAGCTGTAAAGAGTTATCTTACTGTGAGATTCTGGATTACAGAAGATAAAGTGTTAATTTGTTTGAAACTTCTGAGTTTTTTAAAAAGGACTATTGAAAGTTATTTTTCATTTAGTTCCATTATTTCTGAATGTTATTCATGTACAAATGTATGCAAGGTACTGTTCTGTATTCTTTGGGGGATAGAGAGTAAGACTACGTTTGAAGGAGCTTATCAACTAATAAGGGATATAAGAGAATACTATAGTCATAGTAAAGGATAGAAATGTGATATTTGCCTTAAGAAAGGTACCAAAATATCTGAGATGGTTCAGGAGAAAAATAAAAGTCACATCTCTGGGGGTGACGTAAGAAGTCAGGTAAGACCTCAGGGAGGGGAAGCATTTGTGAAGCTAAGAAAAGGTTTTGAGTGGCCAAGATGTAGGGAGGTTAGGTGAGAGTTGTGGGGAGATGAATAGTGAAAGCAAAAGTGTGGCATGTTAGGACACATTGGGAGCAGAGTAGTGTGGTCCGGTAGGGCTCAAACACAAGGTGCATATTACTGTATTATATTCATTTGGAGGACCTAATGAGACTTTGAATTTCTTGCCTGTAAACCCTCCATGTAGCATAGAGTCTGGCACAAGGCCAGTAAATACTGGTTGACTACAGTGAGTATTGGGTATAAAGATTAAAAATTATATTGGAGTTGAAGTTCACAGGAAGAATAAAGCAGCTGATGATTGTTGTGTGCTATACTGAGGGACTTTTGACTTTGACAGGCAGTGAGGAGTGAGGCATTATAGACATTTGAGAAACATATGTGTGAGAAACTTTGGGTACTTCCATACATGTAATGGTAGGGGTGACCAGCCGTTTTGGTTTGCTCAGGATTGAGGGACTTCCTAGGATATGGCCAGGGACTTCGATGCTGAAACTAAGAAAATCCCCAGCAAACTAGGATGAGTTGACCACCCTGCCAACGATAGTATCCTAAAAACTATTGTAATGCTCACTAAAATGAGCATATGAGAGCCTGGATAAACCCAAGCGTATTTATAGGCAGTGGGAGAGGACCCAGTTAAACAGAGAAATTGACAGTTAAGTAGAAGTGATGATTTATGTATTAAGACCTGGGAATCAAGAGATGTCATCTTTGAGAAGGAGGAGAGATGTCTCTTTCTCAAAGATTTCTAGATAAAATAGTTACAGGAACTCAAAATGAGATGAAGAGGGGCAACTGTACATGTAGCACATGTAGTGACTCCAGTCTCAACAACATTAAAAACTGGAACATCCAGTAAGGGGGGGGGCGGGGAACAAAAAGTGCAGCATTTTAAATTATTGAAAATGATAAATATCTAGATGGGAAAATGTTGCTTCATTTAAAATATGTTGAGGTGATCAAAAAGAAATTTTTGTGGCTGGAGTTTAATTCTGATAATAATTTGGGGGTATTAGAAAATGGATTAAAATTAAATGCAAAGGATTTATTTCCTGCCTTTCCTTCTAGGTTATTAAGTGACTCTTCATCTTGTAGAGAAAATGGTTCATTACAATCAAGGAAAAATGAAGTATGTATAGATTTTTACTACTCTGTTTTAGTCACATGTTCAACTAATTTAGTAATATCCATGTGTTTAAAAAGTTCGTATGATGCTACTTTTTGAATCGTTAGATGGCATTCTCTGTTGTAATACAGTTCAAAGAACATTGAAATGATTCATTTATTTGACAGGTATTGTGTAAGATACAGTGGCTAGTAAAAAGGTGAATTATACATGGCTTTAGGCTTAGTTGTAGTAGCAAAAGTGATAGAATAGGTTTATAAGCAACTATAATATCAGAAAATTTTTATAATAGTACTATAAAAGAGTATAGATAATAAGGTATAAGGGTACAGAAATAGTGGAGGAAGTAATATTTTGAGTGTTTAGGAATGATTTGGATAAAGGGTGATTTTATCAAACTTATAGTATTTTGTGGCCTCTAATTTCTGTGTACAAAAGTAAATCATATACACACATACACATTAATGAGGATGCTAAACATTTTTCTCCTTAAAACTTATAGAAAGTAAAAAAGTTGTTTAGATAATTCTGGTATGATTTATCTTAGGAATTTTATAAAGCCTACAAGCATTGTAAATTTCTGTGTTTTCTGTTTTGTTTTAAATAGGAAAGCCAAGAGGTATGTTGATGTCACGTAGGTTGAAAAACCGAAAAAGTGCATCGCTCTAGCAATGTTTTGATATAGCCATTTTCCACCTAGCATTTGGAGTAGTACATCTGCCTGAGAAAGAAGTTCCCAACCTTTTTTTACAAAGTATTTCTTTCCTTATTACCCTTAACGGATCTATTGTTTAAATATGTATTAATGTAATTTTCTTAGTTTTATTTATCAAGAATATATAACTGATTAACATTATACTTTTATTTATACAAGAATATATAACTGATCAAATTATACAATAGCAGCCAAAAGCAGCTAAACTTGACTCGTTCATTGGCCTGTATATTCTTATTAGGGAAAAATAATAGTTTTGCTTAAGATTTATATTTAAGAAACCATGGGGAACCTAATCACTAGAAAGAATAATGGAAAGAACATTGGCCTTGGAATCTAATAGATTTGGATTGATTTTTGGCACAGCCACTTATTAGCTAAGCCATCTTGGCCCAGTTATTCACCTTTTTTGAATTTCAGTTTCTTTATTGAGTAGATACAACACTACTGTATTCTTAGGGTTGTTAGGATTAATGAAACAACATTTGTAAAGTGCTGCTGCTGTACTTAAGGCACAAAAGGAACTCAAAAAGTTAAATCCTTAATGAAGAAGGTGATGCTCCAAAAATGGATTATTTAATACTTTCTGTGATTTTAGTTTCTTTAAAGACCAACATTATCTGGCCTAGAAGAAGATGTAAAGAATGGCAAGGAAATGACTTATAATCAATTAACTATCATTCATTGAAGAGTTATTGACTATAACTCTTTATAGTACTGTTCCTGGCACAGTGTAGGAAGATATAAAGAAGAGCTTAAATTCTTATTTTTTAGAGCAGTAATACATTTTTGAGCAAGTTCAAATATTCCAAGTATTTGTTTCAGATATAGACCTTTTCATCTTACAAGTACACACTGTGGAAGAACAGTGGAGGATATCAGAGGATATCCTTTATTCATAGTGAACGAGAGACTTGGTGTCATAGAAGAATTCTGCCAAGTTTAGAGCTTCTCACTCATATGTTTCCGTGGTGTGGACATGTTCATGTTTGCATACATGTGTAGTGGGATAGCAAGAGTTGGAGAGTTTTTTTCCTCTGTCAGTAAAAGTCACATTAAGAAGGTACAGAAACTTTATGTACCATTATAGATGAGGTTATATTCAGCTCAGAAAACAGCTTGTCATTGTTTTCTTTAAGCCTTTTATATTTTAAGTGTGACCAAACTTTATAATTATAGTTTCTTGTTTCCTGACAGATTCAGAAAAAATTATACACATTAGAAGAACACCTTAGCACTGAAATACAAGCCAAAGAGGAGCTAGAGCAAAAGTACAAGTATGTTTTGTGGATAGTTAAATGTTGTTTTTTAAAATTTAAGTTTAAACATGTTATTAAAAATGAAGAGTTACAAAGTAATTATTTGATTATTTTTAAATCTATTTTTATTATGAATTAGAGATTTTACTTACTGTTTCTTTTGAAATTCTTTAGATCTGTTAATACTCGCCTTGAGAAAGTAACAAAGGAACTAGAAGAAGAGGTAAAGTTGCTCTATGCTTTTATTAACATTTTTGTCCACTAAAAGTTTTGATGCCTGACTTACCTGCAGACTTCTCTTAGAACTGTATTAATACATATCTTGATTTATAGTCGGACCTACCTTCTAGCATTGGTGAACAGAACTAAAAGTACAGGATAACCATGATGATAGACTTTATTTTGTTATGTTTTTGCAAATTTGAGTTAATTTAGTATGTGTAGATATTGCAAGTAAAAAAAAATTTGCATTTGTATTAATTACTTGGCTTAACAACAGAAAGTAACCATTGTTTCTTCCTTTAAGTTTCTGTTCATAACATTTTAGATCCATAGTTTATATCAAGTGAAGATGGTTCAGTGGTAATGGCATGTTTCAGGAAGTTTGACTTTCAGTAGTGAATAATGAATACTGTGGTCTTGATAGTTTAAGAGAGGTGTGCTATTTTGAAAATAATGGAAAATATTATTGTGAGTTTTAACAAAACAGTTATAGCTTATTTTTCAAGGTGTCTTTTATCTGCTTGAAATACTGAAATATTCTTTTCTTTGATTTTTATGCATACTTTTCTTTGGTAATAACTTTAAGCATTATTTCAGATTACTTTAAGGAAAAATGTGGAATCAGCATTAAGACAATTAGAAAGAGAAAAGGCACTTCTTCAACACAAAAATGCAGAATATCAGCGGAAAGCTGATCACGAAGCAGACAAGAAACGAAATTTGGAAAATGATGGTTTGTGGTGTAGAATATTAAATACTTACCAAGAAAAAAATTAAGTGTGTATGTATGTATGTGTTGTGTTGAAGCTTGCCACTGAAATGCTTTTTATCATAGTTAACAGTTTAAAGGATCAACTTGAAGATTTGAAAAAAAGAAATCAGAACTCTCAAATATCCACTGAGAAAGTGAATCAGCTCCAGAGACAAGTAGGTTGATCTCAGTTGTAGTAAGGATATTGAAATTTCTTAATGATAACTTATTAATAATACTTTTAGTTGGCAATGTTACAAAAAGGCCTTCTTTGCCTCTGATTTTAAAGGGAGATTTTAAAGGGAAATCATTAGGAAAATATTCTTAGTTTTTTTCTTATTTTAAATAGTTTGTAATGGGGTACTAAATGGAAGTATTTTCATTATATATGCCTGTGTTTGTTGTTGTTTGATTTTGAATGGAATAACAGCTGGATGAAACCAATGCTTTGCTGAGAACAGAATCTGATACTGCGGCCCGGTTAAGAAAAACCCAGGCAGAAAGTTCAAAACAGATTCAGCAGCTGGAATCTAACAATAGAGATCTTCAAGATAAAAATTGCCTGCTGGAGACTGCTAAGTTAAAACTTGAAAAGGAATTTATCAATCTTCAGTCAGTTCTAGAATCTGAAAGGAGGGACCGAACTCACGGATCCGAGATAATTAATGACTTACAAGGTATTAAAAGTAGAGATTACACTTGAATTCATCTTGGTGATTTGTACTTTGGCAATAACTTTAGTAGATGATGGATAATGTGTTGGAGTAGCACATTTCTGAATATACTACTCTGTTATGTGAAGTTAGGGTGTTGGAAATGCAGTGATACAAACTTTTATGAATAGAAGGTTTACTTTAAATTAGTGTGAAATATTTTAGGTTGTCAAACCACCTCTCAAGGTGGTGGTTTGGGTTCCAGTTGACTTCACTATAAGGCACTCTACCAACAGTTATAAAACTACTCATAAATAATAGCTCCAAACTATGAGGTGACTTCTAAAATTTTTTACTCTTAATTTAATATGTGGGCTTACTGTTTTTAAAATTTTGCAATTTTAGGTAGAATATCTGGCCTAGAAGAAGATTTAAAGAATGGCAAAATCTTATTAGCAAAAGCAGAGATGGAGAAGAGACAACTACAGGAGAGACTTACTGATTTGGAAAAGGTAAAACATATTCGGCTTTATATTTTCTAAGAAAATGACTATAGAATTTCAGATTGGAAAACTTCAAAATAAGGGAAATCAGGGGCACCTGGGTAGCTCAGTTGGTTAAGTAGCTGCCTTTGGCTCAGGTCATGATCCCAGGGGTCCTGGGATTGAGCCCCACATCAGGGGAGTCTGCTTTTCCCCCTCCCTCTGCCCCTGCTCGTGTGCTCTCTCTCTCTCTCAAATAAATAAATAAAATCTTAAAAAAAAATAAAATAAGAGAAATCAGTATGCTTTCAGTGGATGTTTCTCCTTAGGGATCCAAGGAAAACTCAAATTTTGACTTATAACATGTCTTAAAAATGATAGAAACTTATCATGGCTTTGGCATTTAGAAGTTTTTCTTTAAAAATACTATAAGCCAGGGATAATTTCTAGACTGTGCAGTTAATGTGGTATTTTTGTTCACTTATTTATTCATTCGTTTAAGTATTTAAATGTGTCATCTGGGTTGAAATATCAGGATGCAGTCCTTGCTTGCCTTTAACAGTCTCACAGTTGGGTGCCTGGCTGGCTCAAATGGTAGAGCAGGTGACTCTTTTCTCAAGATCATGAGTTCAAGTTCCATGTTGGGCGTGGGACCTACTTAAAAAAAAATTGATTAAAGTAAGTCTCACAATCTAATGAGTAGCTTCTAAAGTAATAATAAGGTACACAGATAATTCTAATGCAGCATGGGTAAATAGAATGCTAGAAGAATGAATAGGGTATATTGGATGCACAGAATAAAGCCCCAGTCTGACAGGGCAGGATTGGTTGGCAAGGTAAAGGCACATTCTGAGTTGGGGAAGACAGCATGAGCAAAGGTACAGAGGATGGAAAATAGAAAAGGGATAGTTGGTTTATTTAGTGCAAACTGTTCAGTATTTCTGGAGTACAGAGCAGGGGTCAACAAATTTTAATCTTTTAAGGGAGAGATGATAAATATTTCAGGCTTTGAAGGCCATATGGTCTCTGTTGCATCTCAGCTCTGCTGCAGTACATAAAGGAATGGGTGTGGCTATATTCCAGTGAAATTTTACAAAAATAGACATCAGACCAAAATTGGCCTGAAGACAGTGGTATGGTCCTAATGTTAAGTGTGAGGAATTCAGTGACCAGAATGAGGCTACAGAGCTAGGCAGGAGCTAGATCATGAAAGATTTTGAATACTCTCTTAAACTTAGTTTCTTTAGGTAATGGACTGGCCACTGAAGGACTTTAAATTGGATGCTCTTACTAGAGGTACATTTAAGATAGATCATTGTGTACCATGAAGAGAATAAATTTGACGGGGACAAGATAAGAGGTAGGGAGACTAGTCAGAGGCTTTTTCAGTAATTCAGATAATAGAGAATTAACTAGTACAGTGGTTAAAAGGATGGAAAATAAGGATGAATCTGAGAAATATTTGGAGGAAGACTATTTGGCAGCACTTAGCGATTAATTAGATGAGGCATGTGTGTGGTACTTATTTAAGGATGAGTTCTAGGTTCCTACTTTGTGACAAGATATATAGTGGTACCGCTAAATAAAAAAGAAAAAAGGAAAACAGCTCTTTGAGAAGAGACAATGACAAATCCACTTTAGTCCTAAGTTTGAGGTGCCTGTGAGTCAGCCAGATTAGGATGTTTACAAAGCAGTAAACTGTTTGTTGAAGCTAGAAATATTTGAGAGTCATTGGTACAGAAGTAGCTGAAGCCCTATGAGTGAAAAACCTATTTGCGAAGAGATCGTTTAGAACAGTGGTTTTTCAGGGCAGAGTAGATTACTCTGTTGGTAGATTGAAAAAACCATTTTCAATATTAAAGATTTATTTGAAAAACAGAAGCAATATCTACATTTATGATACAAACTGTAGAGAACAAAAAATTATAAAATCTTTTTGAGAATATATAGGAAATTGACATCTATTGTTAAAGATTCCCAACTTAAAACAAGTCCCCTATGTAGAATATGAGAGGGTAAATGGTAGAGGGTCCTGGAAATTTATCTTTAGATACAGCAAAGGGAAATAATAGATACGTTTTAAAAATGAGAAATAATGATACACGAAGGGGGAGAAGCTTTGTGGCTGAAGAACACTACCTTCAGAGAACACCAACATTCAAGGAGCAGCTGGGGGAAAACTTCATAAGTGACAGAAAAGATGAGAACAGAAAGCGGGGAACTAAGTGAGTTCAGTGTCAGGTATGTCAAGGAAATAGTTTCAAGGGCAACAGTGAGTCTAAATGAGATAAAGACTGAAAATTGTTTGTTGAATCTGATGTTGAGAATATCATTGGTTACTCTATTGAGGTCAAAGGCCCTCAGTGCAGATCTCCAAACAGTAGAGTGGAGGGATGGAACATGGGTGCCATGGGAGGGTGGATTCCATGGATCACTTTTATAAGAAGTTCAAGTGAAGAGAGGAGGAAAGGTATTGAACATTCTTAGCCTGTAAAAAACAACTTTATAAGTTTTTGAAATTGTGAGCCAGTCTTTTTTGTTGATAGTTGCTATTTTAAATCTTTAATAGGAAAAGAACAACATGGAAATAGATATGACATACCAACTAAAAGTTATACAGCAGAGCTTAGAACAAGAAGAAGCTGAGCATAAGGCTACAAAAGCACGGCTGGCAGATAAAAATAAGATTTATGAATCCATTGAAGAAGCAAAATCAGAAGCCATGAAAGGTATGCTTTTTTCCTAAGAGTTTTCCCACAGCATTATACTAAGAATTGATTCTGTAGTCAACTTTGATTTTGAAAAATAATTTTTTACATTTTATTGTCAAATATTGGGAACTGGAGAGAAAAAAACATTAGGGAAGCTTTATATACATATCACTTTTTTCCTTTATGGCAACAGTTATTTCTAAGATAGTAAGGCCCAAACACAAAATTACTCAACCAAATTTAAGGATCAGAGAGAAATTAATATTTCAGTGGTATCAGTAGTAACAAGCATACAGAGCATGAAGTTCTAGATATATTCAGATTTGGGAGGATTACCTCTTTTTGTAATATTTGGTTTGACATTTCACCAGTCAGTTTTTATAATAAAATTGTTGCCAGTTTATGTAAGATAAATGTTTTAAAAATAGTGGCTGACCTAACTAGAATATAAGCTCATTGAATATTTTGAACTCTGGCATGATGAAGATCCTAGCTAGATTTGGTCAAAGTCATCCACTACTAAGGAGTATAGGGTAAGATAACAGAGTTAACTTTTCCACAAACCAGGATGTATCTTGGAATTGTCTTAGGATAATTTCTTGTTTTCCTAACTGACTGCTTATAATTATGATGGATTTGAAGTTCCAAAGGAAATTAATAAAATACTCTTGTGAAAGATTCATAGAACTCTTAAGCAGAAGTTTTATTTCATACTGAAACACAACAGTTATGAATAACTTAGCAAAGAAATAGCTTTTCGATTATTGAATGTAATTAAAATTGGAGATTTTTTGGTTAAAATCAGTTTAGTTTAAGGCACTAATTAAGGATGTTAAGAGATTAAATGAGTGCTTTAGTTAGAAAAATCTAATTAGAAGAGAGGAAGTTATTGGGTCGTGTTTCCTGTCAGTGGCTTAGAAGATAGAGTTGAATTTCTTTTGAGGTATAATTTAGGTACGATAAAATGCAGGCACTTTTCACATTGTAATACACACATGTAACCACCATTCAAAACAAGTTGTGGAACCTGTGTTTTCATCACCTCAGTAAGTTCACTTGTGCCCCTTTCTATTCTCTGTGCCCACATTAGGGTGATTTTTTTAAGTGAGTACATCTGTCCATGTCTGGGTCTAAAAGCCTTTGCTCTTTCTACTGCATGTCATGGCTTCCTTTGATTAAGAATATGGCTTACTAATGAATTACTAGTTATGCGACCTTGTCCACAGTTACCCTTTTTTTTTTCTTTCGTTCATTGTTTCCTCTAGTTACGCGACCTTGTCCACAGTTACCCTTTTTTTTTCTTTCGTTCATTGTTTCCTCTGAAGAGACAATTAGAGTATTAGATTGTTGTGAAAACCAAGTGCAACGATGGGGGAAAGTACTTAGAAATATTAGTTGTTACTAATAGAATGGGAAGAATAGTTTCATTTTTTTCACACTTTTGAAGACCGTTCATTAAAAATTGAAAATTCATAGGTTTATATAACTAATCAATGATAATCAGGTATCAAGCATTAGGTATGAAAGAGCAGAGGAGCCCAATTGAATTTGAACAGATTTTCTAATCAGTACATCAGAAGGTAATTCTGTAATGGTAATAACTGGCATTTAATATGAAATCACTTGCTTAGAGATAGACTTTGCCTGCTCTTCACTTCAAGATTTAAAAAGGCTTTTAAGGGGCGCCTGGGTGGCTCAGTCGGTTAAGTGTCTGCCTTCAGCCCCGCTCATAATCCTGGGGTCGTGGGATCAAGCCCTGTGTCCGGCTCCCTGCTCAGCAGGGAGTCTGCTTCTTCCTCTGCCCCTCCCCCTGCTCATGTTCTCACTCTCTCTCAAATAAATAAATAAAATCTTAAAAAAAAAAGCTTTTAAAAGCCTTTTCTGATTAATAAAACATATTAAAAATTTATTACAAATCATTTAGAAAAGACAGGAAAGTATAAGGAAATAAAGATTAACCACAGTCTTACTAATCAGGAGGATATTTTGTATTTTCTCTGAAATATTTTATACTGTTTTGCATTTTTTCTTTTAAAATTATACTGTGAACATTCTCCTCAGGTCATTAAACGTTCTCCTTGAATAGTGAGCACTTATCAAATGCTTGTCATTTGCCAGGCAGCATTTAAGTGCCACACAAATATTAACTCAGAATCTTTTCGTAACATCCCTATGAGGGAGGATAGGTACTGTTATCACCATTCTAGAGATGAGGAAATTGAACCTCAGAGAGGTTAATTAACTTGCTGAGGCACATAATTAGGACATGTTAGAGTTAGGGTTTAACCTCAGGAAGTTTGGCCCCAGAGTTTTGTCCTTTATCATTTCCCCAAAATATAATTGTCTTCCTCTGCATAGTAATATGCTAATATGGAAAGAGCCATAGACATCATAAAAAATCTACCTGGAATGTTTAGGGTAAGAAGAGGAACACCGAGAGGCACAGAGTAGCAGGAAAATAAAATAAATATTTATTAAAAAGATGTAAGACTCTTTTAGAACCATCAGTGAAGGCAGAATTATTTTACTTCCATTGGAATAGATGTAATATTGCAGTGTGGTAGATTTTTCCACACTGCAAATGAAATAAATACCTGAATTCCAAGCATGAAACTGTTGACATTTCAAACTCATTAAGAAGGGTGATGAAAATATTAAATTGGAAATTTAAAAAATGTTTTTAAGCTATCATCATTTACTGTGATTTTTATAGCACTGTGTCATGCATGTATTTGATACGCATATTTTGTTTGTGAATTCATGATTGTGTCCATTTTTGTGGCAATAGAAATGGAGAAAAAGCTCTCAGAGGAAAGGATGTTAAAGCAGAAAGTGGAGAACCTATTGCTGGAAGCTGAGAAGAGATGCTCTATATTTGACTGTGACCTCAAACAGTCACAGCAGAAAATCAATGAACTCCTTAAACAGAAAGATGTGCTAAATGAGGATGTGAGTATGAAGTTTACTAATAAGTAATAATAAACTATGTAATAAATTCATAGTCAGGTTTCTCTGTGATGATGTGTAATGATAGTTTCATAATTTAAAATTTTTTCTTATAAAATAATATTCTGCAGCCTTTAATTTTACTGAATTTGGCTGATAATGCTAAATAATGACACATAATTTAAAAATTTTTAAGTTATTTTTACCTTAAAGACCATATTTTATTTAAATAGGACATCAGAAATATGTAAAAATATATTCCCATGGAATGAATTAACTGCCTAAGGGCAAAGTCTGTTTTGCATGATCATATTTGCTGCAAGCTTCATTGATAAGAAAAATCAAATCATTACTTATATTTTACCAAGTAGACAATTTATTTTTTAGGTTAGAAATTTGACATTAAAAATAGAGCAGGAAACTCAGAAGCGCTGCCTTACACAAAATGACTTGAAGATGCAAACACAGCAAGTTAACACACTAAAAATGTCAGAAAAGCAGTTAAAACAAGAGAATAATCATCTCATGGAAATGAAAATGAGCTTGGAAAAGCAGAATGCTGAACTTCGAAAGTAAGTAAATTGAGACAAAGTTTTATTAATATGTACAACTATCCACATGTAAATTATCTTAATTTTGACTTACCTGGTGATTTTCTTTTGATCATTTCATAGTCTTGACCACATTTGCCCTTTTTTTTCTGTATAAGTGATGTGTTGAGTGCCACTGTTGTCCTTCAAGAAGATTATATTTGCTTCCCCAATGATTTCTTACTACTTCTACCTTATTATGATAGAACGATAGAATGTTGCTGTTGGACTAGAAGAAACTCTCTGGGATTTTCTTTTCTTTTTTTTTTTTTTTTAAAGATTTTATTTATTTATTTGAGAGAGAGAGAATGAGAGATAGAAAGCACGAGAGGGAAGAGGGTCAGAGGGAGAAGCAGAGTCCCTGCTGAGCAGGAAGCCCGATGTGGGACTCGATCCCGGGACTCCAGGATCATGACCTGAGCTGAAGGCAGTCGTTTAACCAACTGAGCCACCCAGGCGCCCCTCTCTGGGATTTTCACTTCATGCTCTTAAGATTCCTTCTCAGCACTGTTCTTCAAGCTTACTGTCCATGTGCTTTTTGTTTGTTCCTTCAGTTTCTGGGACTTGGACATGTTTGATTATTAAGCAAATATCATATAAATTTTTAAATCATTTTTATGATGCACTTTAGTGTTCTTTTTAATTTGCTTAGAAAATAGAAAACATAGTGTTTAGAATCCTTTAAGGTGTACAGTAAATATACCATTAAAGTTTGTCCCATTCAGTCATTAATAGTATAAATCCTTCTTCTGAATCATGATCAAAGGTCATATTGGATCCCAGTTATTTGGAAAGAACATAGGCTTTGGATACACATTGAGGTATGAATTCCAATCCCGTTACTTACTAGCTGACCAACATCAGGCAAAATATTTAACCTCTCTGAGCCTTTTTTTTTTAAGTTTTATTTATTTATTTTTGAGAGAGTGAGAGAGCACGAGCGGGGTGGGGGCAGAGGGAGAGAACCCTCAAGCAGACTCCCCACTAAGCGCAGAGCCCAATGTGGGGCTCAGTCCCAGGACCCTGAGTTCATAACCTGAACTGAAATCAAGAGTAGGACACTTAACTGACTGAGCCATCCAGGTGCCCCCTTTTTGAGCCTTTTATCATAAAACCTACAAAAAGGGGCAGTAAGAGCTTCCTTGTTAGGCATTCTGTAAGGATAACAATGATACATTTATAGCATTTAGCACACAATAAATGGTAGGGGCCATTACTAGTACGGCTGTTACTGTTAATACTACTATACTGCAGGGATGCCTCAGTGACTCAGTCAGTTAAGCGTCTACCTTCAGCTCAGGTCATGATCCCAGGGTCCTAGGATCAAGTTCCACATCGGGCTCCCTGAACAGCAGGGAGCCTGCTTCTCCCTCTGCCTGCCACACCCCCTGCTTATGCACATGCTCTCTCTCTCTTTCTCATTCTGACAAATAAGTAAATAAAATCTAAAAAGAAAAAACAACCCCAAAACTACTATACTACTGCAACTATTCCTCTCTTCTTATCATCACTGCTAATTGCTTGGTTTTTACGGACCTGTGACAGGTCAAGAAGATTGACACTATTTAGGAAAGGATGACCAAGCATTCTTATATTGACACTGTCTAGGAGAGGATGATTTAAAAGATTTTGTTCTTTTTGCTGATCTGTTGCCTGCGTAAGCCTAGACTCTTAAACTTGATGAGATTTCAACTTTTGAAAATTAGAACTAGAAACTTGAACAATATTTAGGTATCTTCATCTTTGTTTTTTGTTTTTGTTTTTTCCCTATATATTAGCTTTATTCTTCTCTCTCATTTTAGACCTAGTTTTTTCCATTTAACAGAAAACTTGGTCTTTAAAGAAGGACAAGCTCTAGAGATATATCTTATAGCTTCATTTATTTGGAGAGACTCTGATTTGACTTTTCGGGACCCCAATTTCAGAAAGTACCCTAAGTTCTGGGATGGAATTCATTGGCCCAGTTTTGGTCAAGAGTGCAAGCTGTGGACCCTTAAAACAACTTGACTAAATAGATATTCTCCATAGTATCTGCTCTAACCATAGTGGTTATATGAATGTAAGAGCTGATTAAACATCTAGATTGTGTTTCCTCTCTTGATCTAATTACATTTTGTTTATACCAAATTTATAGTACTTACTGTATATACCCCTCGTTTTCTTTGTCAGTACACATGGATCTGTTGTTTCTTAATCCTTCAGTTCCTAACCCCCTTTCCCCCAAAGAACTCACATTTGTTGTCTTAACCACCTTAGTACATTATAAGTTCACTGAATGGCAACCATCTCTTTTTTTGTTTTGTTCTCTCCAACCGCTAATGAATGTCTTGCACATAGTACATTCTCAAATGTTGCATGAATGAATGCTTACCTGTAATGTGCAAGGCACTCATAGTCACTGTGGGAGATTCAAAGATGAATCAGGTACATTTCCTACCTTTAAGAATCTTAGTAGCATTTTATCAGAAGTTACTCCTTAGGGAGAGGTAAGGTGGTACGTAAGTAATTGGAATACCAGGATAAAATGATACATACATGCAATGGGAATTTACATATGAAGTGCTATATGTAGGCTTGCATTTGAAAATGGTCAACATACATATCTTTTCTTCCTTCCAAGATTCCAATAAAACTTTAGTAAAGGAATTTTTTAAATGCATAAATCTGTATCAAGAATTACGAGGGATTGGAAGACAAGAAGTTTCTTTAGTAAATGAGGTAGTGGCAAGTAGAAACCTCACTAATGATGTACAGGGCAGAGGAAGCAGCAGCCAGGAGTATGTATGAAGTGAGGTATTAGTGAAGAAGAAAATGTTTCAGGGGTGCCTGGGGGGCTCAGTCGTTAAGCGTCTGCCTTCGGCTCAGGTCCTGATCCTGGGGTCCTGGGATCGAGCCCCTCATCGGGCTCCCTGCTCCGCGGGAGGCCTGCTTCTCCCTCGCCCATTCCCCCTGCTTGTGTTCCCTCTCTTGCTGTGTCTCTCTCTGTCAAATAAATAAATCTTAAGAAAGAAAGAAATTGGGCATACCCTTTGCAGATAATTAGAGCTGCTAGTATGGAGTGAGTTCTCATTTTGCCTTTTAGGGGTCCCCTGCTTATGTGGCTTTTTAAGCCTCTCATCTTAAACTGAAGTTTGCCAGGTAGAAAACCCCTTCCACATGCATAGAGATTAAAATTTCTATCATCTCCTTTGTAAGTGAACAACCAAGTATCACTAGGCATTTGAGGATAGTGTGCAGTATGAAAGAGAAAGACTATGATAAAGAAAAAGGAAACGTATCCCCAGATGAAAAATATATCAAGGAAAGAAGAGAAATTAACAAAAAGAAGCACAAACCCAAAAAAAGCCTGTTGGTAATAATTAGAATTGATCAAAAACTTGTAGGAGATACTGCTTCCGTTAAACAAGAACCTGGCATAATACAAAAAGGGCAGCCAGAATAGGAAGAGCTGTCAAAGGTTAAGAATGACTCATATACATGTATTAGGATGGTTCAAAGAAAAATTCAAAGAAATTTCATCAGACATAGAATAAGAGGGAATGACATGGAAGATATGAGAGAAATAGGTAAGACACAGAGACTGTCCCGGGAGTTCCAGCACCAAAAAAGTCTGGAGAAACCAAGTGGAGGAAGTTATTAAGTAATAGGGGCATCTGGGTGGCTCAGTCAGTTGTCTGCCTTCAGCTCGGGTCATGATCTTGGGGTCCTGGGATTGAGCCCCAGGTCAGGCTTCCTGCTCAGCGGGGGGTTTGCTTCTCCTTTTCCCTTTGACCTCCCCCTGCTTATGCTCTCGCTCTCTCTCTTGCACTTTCTCTCTCAAATAAATAAAATCTTTAAAATATATATATAAAACAGTTTCCTATAGCTGAAAGAGAAGTCTTTATATTGAAAGGACTCAGCAGGAAATAGAAAAGACCCACATTTAGACGTGTTCTCATGCAATTTCAAAAACAAGATAAAGGATGGGAGTGTTGCAGTTCCTCATCACAAACTGGGGTGGGCGTTGTGGTTTGTGGTCGATGCAGTAGGAAGTGAGGCGTGGTTATGTGGCTGAGGCGAGTGATACACCTGTATTATAGGGGTTGGGGAGAGGTTAGGGATGCTAAGAGCTCAGTTCCTATTTTGGCAGTGGAGAGTTGGTAAATAATATTTTAAATTTGTGTCCAGATTTAAATAGGCTGAGATGCGGAGGTAATTGTCAGAAGGACAGAACACAGAAGTGAAACAAAGTAAATTCCTCTAGGGGAGTAGGGTTAGGGTGTGGATAAGGAGACTGTTACCTTTCATTGTAATTTTTTCTGTGGTATTCTGTAGTATTTAATTGCAACCATGTGCATACTATGTGGTTTTTTTTTGAAAAATAGTTTTCTTAAATACCTGATAAATATTGGGTTTTTAAAGTTAGATGTAAACGAATGAGAGCAGCTTGTCAAGATCACAATAGTAAAAGTATACTGAGGTTTGCTGCAAGTGAGCTTAGCTGGTAATGATGAGATCATCTTAAAAATTGACCTTTTATATATTATTATTAGCATCTTTCACATTTTTGATTCAGGAAAATAAGAATCATCATTTTTAATAGTACACACCTTAATAAAATACAGATACAACACAGACAAGTGATATTGAATGATAACTTCCTTTATATTGAGGTTTTAAGAACCAATAAGTAAACAAAGTGACCAAATTATGTTAAATAAGAATAAGAGTAAAAGCCTTAAGTAACACACAGATTGAAAATAATATGATTAAATCATTTGATCTGAGTCTTTCTTCCTGTATATATATATATTTTTTAAAGATTTTATTTATTTGACAGAGAGAGACAGTGAGAGAGGGAACACAAGCAGAGGAAGTGTGAGAGGGAGAAGCAGGCTTCCTGCGGAGCAGGGAGCCCGATGTGGGTCTCGATCCCAGGACCCTGGGATCATGACCTGAGCCGAAGGCAGACGCTTAACAACTGAGCCACCCAGGCGCCCCCTTCATATTACTTTCTAAAGGAGTTTTGATATGTCTTTGTAGTCAAAATCACCAAAGCTAATATTTAAGAATTTACAATGTGTTTTATCTTTTCAAAGAACCAGCTTTTGATTTCATTGCTTTTTCTCAACTGTTTTCTTGTTTTCAATTTCACTGATTCCTGCTCTAATTATTTTTCTTTGCTTGCTCTAGGCATAAATTGCTGTTCTTTCTCTAGTTGCCTAAGAGGGAAACTTAGATCATTGACTTTAGGTCTTTATTCGTTTCTAGAATATGAATTTAATGTTATAAATGTCCTGATAAGCACTGATTTTACTTCATTCCCAAATTTTGATAAGTTGTATTTTTATTTTCATTTAGTTCAAAATATGTTTAAGTTTTTCTTGCAGCCTCTTTTTTGAGTAGTATGTTATTTAAAGAGTCTTGTGTAATCTCCAGATATTTGGGGTTTTCAAGCTTTCTGTAATTGGTTTTTAGTTTAAATTCATGTGATCTGGGACACCTGGGTGGCTCAGTCGGTTAAACGTCTGCCTTTGGCTCAAGTCATG